TCGAACCCAACTCCTCAGTCCATTTCTAGGCCGACTTTTGAGCGCCGCAAGCGCATTTGCCTAATGCAGGTTGATTGGTTGTCGTTTGGTAGATAATTACTTTGTTTCAAATGCAATCAGGAATATTCCTTTGGACAGTTGTAGGTACCCTCAAGCGATACGTTACTCTTGCCCACAACAGTTCACTGTAATAAAAGGAACACACCAACGTCCTCTTGATTCAAAGATTTTGATATTGTAAGCGGTGACAGACACGAGGTTGACCTTGCAGAGCGGATGGGGCAACCCGCAGTACATTGTGTACTCGATCGATCTGAATCTGAGAAGAAGATTGACTCTTACCTAATATTAATACACTTTGGGAAGGATCTAATATTCTCTTTGGGGAGAAAAGTGCTACTCGTGTGAGCAACCATTCTCCTCGGAAAGTGGGCCAATGATTGCAGGGTTAGGGGGTGGTTCAGAGTTTCTAGCGTCCAGATGAGGGCGTTTGCGCTTGTTTTTTTTTTCTTTTTTTTTTTCTCATGCGCTCAACAAGTTGCTGTGTCTTAGCGACGGAACATTGCCAGTTCCCAAAGAGATCATCTCCTCAAATAACAGGGGCATTGTTTTTTCTAGGCGTGAACCAAATTATGGGGAACCGAGGTTACTCAAACCAGAACGCTTCTCGAAGGGCTGGCGCTGGAAGGTAGATAGATTACTGCTGTAACTCACCAATACTCTAGAACCAGGTCTAGCCTGCAATGGGAAGATGGCGGGTATTGATAAGGGTGCAGAAATGTGCGGGTCCTGATAGGCTGTTGACAGACTGTAGATCCACCGTTTCCTTTTGTGTTCCCCCACCCTGCAGTATGATGTGTAGTGCTGTAACTGTCCCTCTGAAATACAGGATGATCTATGAGACTACATATGTAGGTATCGAGACCCATCCCTTGGGTAGCTTTTCTCATGGCGAGTGAGTTCGAATGATGTATTCAAATTACCCCATTTGGATTACCCTGTGAATCCCTGGAGCCAAAGGTTGGATTGTCCGCCGTGCTCACTCCCGGGGCGCCGGATGAAAGCGTAGCATGCTCTATCTTCTGGGGGTTCCGATTTGCTTTTGTGCCCTACTTACATGCAGTATTACAATACCTACAGTCTCTACACTTCTTTTGAGACAGGGAAAGGGGATACCAAGAAGGTACCTCGTGATAGAGTGACCAGCTAGCGGTCTGAGAAATGCACCACTTCGCCGACTCCCTATCTTTCTGTATCTCGGGAGTTTTAACCCCGTATTCGAAGTTTCTTTTTCTCGCTACTTGAATTTGTTCCAAGAGGTAAGGTTCGCCTAGTGAGGTATTCTAGGTATGATGCTACTGCTGGCTTCCACCGCTCTATGTATCTAGGAGGATGCGATTAGCAGTAGTTAACTGAGAAGAGGGTTGAGGTGGCGGTGGTGCTCGTCCCATCTTTCTACTCTGGATATTGAGTACCTTGCCAGCTATGCGGTCCCAATCGTCATGCTCTTGGTTCAGTTTGCTGTTTCTTATCTGTCCATGAGCATCTACTGCCCGTCAATCAAACCATACCCGTGGTGTTTCTCCATGCTCATCTTGGTTCCCCAACATGCTTCAATTCGCGGGTGATGCCCGGCCGCTAGGAATGACAGTATAATTCACGCTGTCTACTTATTTTTCCCACACGACATGTTTGATTTACATAAGGACGTGGATTCCCCGCCGTCTTCCACTCTCACCCCGCTTGTTTGTTCATCATCCGTCAATATCTATCCACTTATCTTTCTCGCTTCTTTACCTACATCCCCAGCAATTTGTTGTTCACATATCCTGTAAAAAAAAAAACGCGTGACTCGCTCTCGAGTTGGACCCTGTTTTAATCCTTGAGACATCGATTTGTCACGAGTCATCCTTCTCTACCAGGTTAGCAGAAAGTTTCGAAACAAGTGTGTGCGGCCCCAACATTTGGCTTGCTGCATGAAGTAGAAAGAGTGCACTGTACTCTATCCGCACACAGACGTTATCTATCTACTGTGCTGCCCACTTGCCGGTGTAGTGATTCCCTATCTATACCAATATCTATTCAGCCATCCATATTCCAGACGGAGAAGCAAGAGGATAGGGCAGGGAAAGACAGGCGAGACATTGTTTTTAATTTACAGGGAGTCAAACAGTCAGACTGTCAGGCCTGTTATCCGTCATCAAATAGAAGGAAGAAACCCATTCCCGGTGTTTTAGACATACATACATAGGCATACAGCGCACCCTCTGCCTTACTCTTTGTGCGCTTAGCTCTGGACCCCCTCCAAGCCGCCAGCCTCATACATACATAACACAGAAAATATTGTTAGCTATCAGCGAACCCGTTCCGATGGAGCTACTCCTGACTCCCGCTAGGACAACGTCCTTATCCTCAGCTACTTTCACTACCACCACTACCGCCATCACTCTTCTTTCTTCCTCTAACCTTCACCACCACAACTCACACTCCCACTGTCTTGTTCGATCGCTTTCGGCCTCAACTTCGGACGACGATATATTTCCATCTTCCGATACTGCAGTCGTACATGAAAAGATACATTCCTGGTATTCCCATCAAACATCGTCGTCGTCGTCGCCGAGCATGATGTCTGCCCCATTACCTTTGATTTCCTCCAGCCCTATGGTTATCCCTACGAAGGGCTCTTCGAGGTCTAGAGGAAATCACTACAAAAACAACAAACATACGGGTGTAGCACCGGCAGTTGCGGCCCTCCTGGCGGTAACGGCTATTCCTCCCCCAGGCTCAAGGAAACAGAGAGTTGCTCTGCGACAGCAACAACAGCAGCAGCGGCCTTCTCCGAACGTTTTCATTGAGCCTCCAACGCCTTCCGACGATATACCTTTGTCATTTGATGATGCCCTTGGAGAGTCTGTTTTCCTTGGTTTAGAATCCGTTGCTCTATCTCGTGATCCCTCAAGAGATTCAACTCGATCTTCATTATCTCTGCTCCTTGGTCCCCCGGATTATGACGATGATACTTCCTGTTCGCTTCAAAAGTCACCAAGCGACAGTCACCTGTCAGTTCGGTCCGATTCATCAGATTCCGTGCCTTCTCTTGAAGATGACGACCGGTCTACATTTTCGTGGAGCAGTTTTCAATCGTTGCCCCTCTCTCGAAAACGTCCCGCCGGTGATCCCCGGGCTCGAATCCTGGCATCGAATTCTGAGGAGTGTCACTTCGATCACCCGCTAATGTTCGATTCCGACGACGATACCGCAGAACCTGTGCTTGAACCAGAGTTAGGCTTCTTTTCCGAGGACGCTCTCAAACGGGTGACCCGCCGCCTTAATTTCAAGTCGAATCTGACTGCCTCGATTCGCGTCCTTAAATCGGCTGCCCGGAGTTTTTCATCTATTTCGGTCGCTGCACCCTTTACCCAGCCAGACGATTACCTTACCCGAAGTATCCTTTCTATATCACCTCAATTCACAGATGAGAAGCGACCGGCCCTGAGTCTTGATACCCCAACACCAGCGCTTCGCCGTTATCTAAACCCAACAAATGCTACCCCCGATTCCCCTTGCACTGGAGCGATCCAGATGCAAACCTACTCTTCATCGCAAAAGCCTAGCAAAGAGACACACAAGGATGCATCCGTTGCAAATTCCCGCGTATCCAACCCGGCCGCACGACCACGCGAGGTCAGGGAAAACGGTGATTTTCTCCGCGTTATTGTTTTGGAGATGAACATGCGTCGACGAGGCAAGCTGAGTGATACTGCGCATGGGAAGGCCAAAATCGCCCTCCCGCCACGTCAACCATACAAGTATAGGGTATTAGGAGATGCCAGACGTTGGGAGGCTTGGACATGCAGTTACGATGAATAATGCTATGCAAGAGATGGGGCGGGGCGCTTCCGAAACACTCCCAATTCTGGAATTCCGGTTCTAGGATACTGGATGCCGTCGGATTTAGGTCTCCGCCGATATTGGTGTGCTGTACAGTGAACATGATGCGATGTGCTAAATATTTCTTATTTCTTTTTAGGGGTGAACGAACCACAGGGTGGGTGTTCTTGGAGTCGTATTCTTGCTTTTTTCTTTCTTTTATTCTCGTAGGAGGCTGCTCTTCCAGATCTCGTGATTCAGATGTACGAATTGGGATAGTAAGTTTGTTGAACCATTCCTCATCATAGGTTGTTACATGTAGCGTTAGCATTTTTAGTTTCTTTTATTGTTACATAAATTTTTGTGGGTTTTTTTTGTGGGCGTTTCTTTTGTGTTCATAGTCTTCTGGTTTGGGTTTCGCGTACTTACATGTACAATTGCTTTTCTTTTGTTTCTATGACTGCAAGATACCTCATTTCATTGGTCCAGAGAATTGTTTGAGTTTTGCTGTATAGGACGGATGAAGATTTAGTTTCTAGATAATTTGTTCTAAGGTCAACGTGTGGTTTTTAGTTGGGTATTTAACTTCTTGTCTATCACTTCACCGTTGTGGCATCAGCTGGTATTGATGGCTTTGATTTGAATTTTGATGTCGGCTGGCTCGCGAAAGCCGTCGATATAAATCCTGTGCGTTGTAGGTATGAGGTGAAGGAATAAATATTGAACGAGGCCGAATCGTGCGGAGGCTACTCTCTTATAATCTGAGCAATATTCTTATTCCACTACTAGTAGTACCGCTTCATATTAACTGGGACACTTACACTCCGATCTTTCTAATATCAGGTGTGTTCTAACCGTGCATAGAATTCCCCTCCACCGTGCCGTGTAGGTGTGGGTGATGCGAACATGCGCCTTGATGGCATCAGATGACGGTATCCTGAATGATATTTCACATAGCAGACGCTCGCGTGTGTGAAATTTCCATTTTCGGGGGGTACCAATAATCCGCAATTTCATATTAAATTTGAAAATTTACGCTAATTACTACTAATGAATCTAGTATAAGTCAATCGCTATTAGCGCTCTAGCATTCCTCCATACTTCCATACACATGTATTTGTATCGCCAACCTAATGTCTTTTGCTATATGTAGTACTCTTGCAACCTGGTGGTGGTATTTTGACGCCCAGTCTTCTGACTGATTGCCACACTTCGTCCTGGACGCTGAGAGGCAGTTTCCTTCCCTTCAAACTCTGGTCTATCAACCACGTACCAACAACAAACTCGTCTCTGCTAAGTCTACCCTTCATACCGTGATCGACAAGGCCCCAGATATCTGCTAAATGATTCAACGGCAGTCTCGATCTAGTCCAAATATCCCTCGCTATCAAAGAATGCACGCAATCCGACAAGTCTTCAGTATAGTCTGGCGTTGACGACCACACATGTTGTAACTGAAAGCTATGTGGCTGGTGAGATTTTGTTTTCTGTAAACTGAATGAATAGGGTGAAGGGCCTTTCGATTTCGAATCACATGTGGTCAGGAGAAGTCCCTTATTTGCAGCCCACAGTCCCTCATAACGTTTTCGCTCTACATCGGTAATAAAATGCCTCCAACGCCGACGCTCCCCCTCCGAATGTTTATGTGGATGATGTTTTATAAGATTTGGCATCTTTATTTGGGGGCTAGCTTCAGCAGGTGACCTAGGCTTCCTCATTGTTTCCCTAAACCCTGTTTTGGGGGGTGAGGGAAGACTTTTTCGACGGCCACGGCGCGGTGCAGGTGGTGCAGGCGGCTTCCTCGGCGCGGGCGAATTCACGCGGGACGGAGCGAGTGACGCAGCTATAACAGAGTCCCCGGTCAAATGCTTTGATAATGGCAAAGGTTGGCGGCAGCTACCGCGGATGGGGGGAATGTGGGTTGCGGCGGACACCACGGCGAAGGATTTACCTCCTGCCATTTGGGGGGGGATATTTCCCAGTGAAAGGCGTCTCTTTGGTATGGGAGATATTGTTGAGTGCGATAGGGAGGGTTGCAATGAAACCGATGAGCGAGCAGTGTCGTACTTTGAGAAACCCGTTTTCACCGAATCAATAGACAACGCATCGGAGTTATCCTCAATTTTTAAAGTCTTGCCATTGGGTACCTTCAAACTATCATGTGCTCTTCTCGGGGGAGGCGGCCTTGGGGGTTGGGATTTTTTTGGGGGGGTTCGTGGAATTTTTCCCTTGGCAGCTAAAGTAGCTGCTAAAAGCGCATTCTTGTGGTCTGATAATCCAGATGTCTCGTGCATCTCAGATTGCTTCGAGTCAAGTAGAAAAGGCGAGGGTTCATGTGCCGTGATATGAGAGCTTGGACGGTTGTCAAAGTTTAAAGGAGTTGAAATTCCCTGGGCAGGTTTTGAACTTTGCTTGAGGATGGGACTGCCTCTGCTTGAGCTGTGTGTGGAGTTAGAAGATGAAAGCTGAGTGGCTATAATCGCAGCTGTCAATGATGGGTTTTCCGAAACCGGCCGGATAGGCTTTGGTGCACATATCGTAGCACCTTTTTCAAATAAATTTTTAAGAGAAGATATATCCTCTAGCGAAGTTGAATCAACGCCTTGAGAGCTTATATCTGGTAGTCTGCTGTGTTTCGGCGAGACATCTACTGATAGCGCCGGCGAGTATTCCTCTAGAGAAACACCATCCCGAAGTAAACGACTGCATGTGTTCACAGTGCCGGTTGCGGGCTTGTCGTCACCTTTGCCGACTGTTGTGCCGCCCTTAGCTATTCGAGTTCTAAATTCTGCGGCGGCGGCATCCCCAACAACCATTGACGAAGACTTCTGGAGTAAGGGGGTTTTTGAGACGGGGGGTCCGTATTGGTGCTCCTGCATTTTGTCTTTCAATTTTCTCTGTTGAATAGCTGGTAGACGTCCCTTATCACCGGTATCCACTTTTCCGATTGGTGAGCTTGCCGTGGAAATCTTATTGATCACACATCCCTTTTTTGTAGCGCTGCGATTGCTCGAATCCTCTGTCGGAGATGTAATGGTTGTTACGCTTTTATCAAAACTTAGGGTTGCGGCTCTTAACGCAACAGCACTCGGGTTAGAATTTGAAGAATGTTGGGTTTGAGAAGTCGGAGGGTTCAGATTCATGGCTCAAGCACTATGATATAGAATCAGAATGAATACGCTGTCGACAAAAATCGTGGAATTTAGGCTTCTCACCGAGTGTAGTGAAGTATTGAAAACCAAATTTAAGAGAAGCATGCAGGGGTAAATCGTGGTCACAGCAAATTACGTCGAGTACGCACAGCTATGATAATCAACAGCACGCAGATAGTGGTCGTAAAGTTGGTTGAGGCAGAGGTTGATAACTGCCAGATTGGTTGTTTGGCACGGCCACGACAGGGGGATAATTATATAATGGCATATATGTACTTGTAGGTATATACGTACATGTCTACATGTATGATGTGCCTGACTTATCGAATACAAGTACTTTATGCTATGTAGAGTAGAATTGAGAGCACAGTCGCAAGAACAAAATACCTACCGCATAAACCTGCCTTCCACTCAGCATATATTCAACAAAAGTCTGGGCACGTAGGATAGGGGAAAGGGGGAGAGTTTGGTATGTTACCGCATATACCGTACACTGTAGTCTTAAGTATATTTCCCTTTAGCAGAATGCAGAGTATAAAAATAGGTATGTAGGTTCAAGAAATTTATCGTCTGCAATACCCATTAAACAAGAGACTTCTTCAATAAGGGATTACGACGAGTTGTGTAAATGATACATTTTCAGAAACCTGTATCAATACTGGATCAAGACTTCACTATATACATGTAGTGCTCTCTCCATCATCACAAATGCCCACACAGGGCAACTATTAGGGGCTATCCTCTGACCTCTAGATCGCTGTTACTATTAAGCTGTGATCGTGATACATGTAGTTACGCTCGTTACCCCTCTAGTAAGGTTTAGGCTTCAACAAGCACAAAGATGTAAATACATGCACATGTACATATAGACGTGTACCAGGCCCTACATAATCAAACCCCAACTCTATCACATATATACAAGTAGCTCAAATCTCCAGAACCATTTTTTTTTCTTTTTAAATATATACAGCTTCAAATAATATGTCGGGTCCTGTAATTACATGTAGTTTGAAGCATTTGGATGAGATTTTGGTATCATAACGTAATACCTAATGGAGAATAGAGTTAAGACAAGCAACTGAAATAGATTACCCAGTACCATACCAATGCTCAAACTTGAGAATGCGGTTTCAAAACTTTATTTTGCGAAGTAGTATAATGAAGTCCAATGTACCATGTACGTATTAACAGAAATATTACTTAGACCAAAAGAGCGCTACGGTATACTTCTCATAAGTAACTATGTACATATACAGAAACATGGATAAAATGACTACCGCAGTCTTTGGCAATGCCGTACCACTGCGGTAACACTACCGTTTACTTCGTCAAAATACGAAGATAAAGCGGCATATTCTCACAATGCCGTACTGATGCGGTATCAGTTTTACCCCCATTTCTGATATTGTACTTACGTACATAGTAGAAGGGTGGTTTAAGATCCCTAGCCCTGCGGCGGCGCCAAAGGTCCCTAACCCTAACTAGAGTAGGCCAAACATGCAAGGTATAATCGTAAACTAACTACAGGCTGCATGTCAATCCACATACAAAGTTGGCTCGAAACTACATGACTACAGTTGCGGGTAGTTACCGCTTTTCTGGGTGGCAAATGGCATTTCCCAAAATTAATGGCCGTTACCGGAACTCAAAAGTCTACTACGGGTGACAACTGGAAAGATTCTCTCGTTTCAACACCTAAAAAATGGGCTGCTGGGTAGTTTTAGGAATAGTGGGGCGCAATTTATATGGCAAAAAGTTTGGAACCAGTTCCAGCTGTCACCCTCTATCCCTTGGACTGGTAAGACATGCAGATTCCCTGACTTCCTGATTAGGGTGTGGCAGAGTGACTTCGCCATTGAGGAAATGATCATTTTTACAGAGGCAAAGTCACTTAGCCACCGCATATACATAGTTCCCCGTGGGGAGTCAGGGAATCTGTATGTCTCACCAGTCCAAGGGATCACTGTGAAAACTGAAGAGTTATTAGTTGAGGAGTGTATGAAACAGGTTATGTATCTACTTATCAACTGGGTGGACCAAAAGGACTCATAAATTGCTATTACCGGGGGTCTTGAGGTGGACGTGCCTACTTAACCCTTACGCGTCCCTGCATTTATTGCTCACGTGGTTACGCGTTTGTCCACTTTAGCCGAGCCCGTATCATGGCTTCGATAACTACATGTATGACTCGACGTTTCCCTTAAGGACTTTCTTGCTGCTCCCTCCATCTTGCTTGACGCCTCCCCTCGAAGAATATAACGAAACATAGGATTCACATTACCAACGAATATTTCAAGCTGTTTGTATTATGTCTGATCTCGGTACCCTTCCAGATGCCCCACCCGTGGCTCGCGATATCGTAGAAGGCATCAGCGTAGAAGCCTTCGGCCCTAACAAAATCCTTACCGAGGCGGAACTTAACCGCGATTATCCCCTTAGGCCAAGGAACAAAAAACATACTCTTCCTTTTCACGAGTTACACACATATCTCTTTGATCCACTTCTTGCGAACAAGAAGAAAAGAACAGGCCCCAATCAAAGAGTATCAAAATTAAAGCCCCATGAAATCAGACGGAATATTATTGACCGGTTTATATCTCGCTGGAGGACTGAAGTTGGAAATGATATCTATCCCGCATTTAGGTTGATTTTATGCGATAAAGACAGAGATCGCAGTGTGTATGTTTTCCCTATCAAAGTAGAAATGGTCTCAGACTCACATTTCTCCTTCTGAGTTCAGATACCATCTTAAAGAAAAGACAATTGGCCATCTGTGGGTCAAGGTGATGAAAATTAATAAAGACAGCGATGACGGCTATGCTCTCTTAAATTGGAGGCAACCAGGCGCCTCGAAGAGTGCTGGTGACTTTGCTCTACGCTGCCATGGTACGTTCCACTGTAAGAATTAATAGTGAGAATTCTATTATATCATCTTCTTGAGTTTTTGATTTTCGAATCCGCTCCGAAATACATTCCTCCAATTTATTATTCAACTACTGCCCACTTTGATCTCTGGGACTGTGGGAGCTGTCAATTCCTACGCATTATTTACATAATCTGAGGAGATATCCAATCGAAATTTCAACACTAATGTCTGCCCCTGAACCTTAGAGGTGATTAAAAAACGCCCAATGAGAACCACCCCAGGCAACTTGACGATTGATCAAGTGAACGCAATGCTTGACAATCTTTCCCAAGCTACTAAAGAGTGAGCGTTCATCTACCATAATTCTCATGACAATTTATACAGACAATTAACCCGTCACCATATGTTCTTGTAGAGAGGATCAATTGCCGATTATGGTCGATTTCTATAACAACATGGATGCCGATGAACTGATGTGGATCATTAGAATTATCATGAGGCGTAAGTTACCGATAGCATGCTAGGCCCTTTCTGAGGATAATTCGATCATCCGTACTGACAACCATTACCTATAACTAAAGAGATGAAAGTTGGTGCTACGGAAAAAACCTTCTTCGAGTACCCACCTCTTTGATCAATTGTTGGAAACAAAACTTATTGCTAATACTTCGTAGTGCGTGGCATCCCGATGCGGATGCCCTATTCAATGTTTCATCATCTCTCAAGCGTGTCTGCTGGGAGTTGTATAATCCTGATTTCCGCATGGATTCCGATGTAACTCGATATCCCTTTGGTTTCCCTCGTTCTATAGTAATGGTATTGTAGGACAAATCTGTGACCCTTATGTCCTGTTTCCAACCTCAACTTGCACAGTTTCAGAAGCGTTCCATGGCCGAGGTTGTTAAAGCTATGCACCCAACAGCTGAAGATCCAACATTCTGGATAGAAGAAAAGCTCGATGGTGAGCGAATGCAAATGCATTATCAGAATGGAAAATTTATGTTTTGGAGCAGGAGGGGGAAGGAATACACAAGGCTTTATGGATCAGGTTGGGATGATGGAAGTTTGACAAGACACCTGGGGGGGGCATTTGACAAAGGAGTTAAAAGGTTTTATAACCCCCATTATATCTATACTGATGGTTTCTAACTTGTCATGACGCAGTATCATTTTAGACGGGGAAATGATTACATGGGACCCCAGAATGGATGTTATCGTTGCTTTTGGGACACTAAAAACGGCTGCATTGGAGGGGAATAGAAACCCATATGGGGATGGACCTAGGCCCTTATGTAAGGATTTTCTTCAGTCATTATTTATATCCTACAAGTGCTGATATGCTCCTATGGCAGTTCGGGTTTTTGATATACTTTACCTGAACGGACAATCATTGATTAATTATACACTGAGGGACAGGCGTAAGGCCCTGGAGAGAAGTATCAAGAGCGTACACAGAAGAATGGAGGTTCATCAGTATGTGGAAGCACAAGAGGGGAGAGAAATTGAAAAAATGTTGCGGCAAGTAATCGCCGAAGCAAGTGAAGGCCTAGTTATTAAGGTAGGTTTACTCGCACGAGTAGAGTATAGGCCCCCATATGTTCACCCAATAGTGTTTGAGAGTGAAACCCTCCTGGACTAAATGTATTAATCATCTAGAATCCGCGAAGCATATACCGCCTCAACGACCGAAACGATGATTGGATGAAGGTAAAACCAGACTACATGACAGAATTTGGCGAATCACTTGACCTTCTCATTCTTGGTGGCTATTGGGGAAGCGGGAAGCGCGGTGGTATCCTCTCATCGTATTTATGCGGTGTCCGCCTCGATGGAAATCATCTTCTTCCTGGCGAAAATCCCA